GCGGAATCGGGAGATTTCGGCGCTTCGCTCAAGTCCTTCGTCTCTAACCCAGCGTCCGCCTCCTCGTCCGTATCCGAATCGGAGTCCGTCACGTCGCCTCCGTCGTCCTCCTCCGCCGGCTCCGCGTCGCCGTTCTCCGAGGCCGTCGGGGTCTCCCTGGCTTCTTCCCCCTCTTCCGGAGCGGAGGCGGCGCTGCCGTCTCGCCCGTCCTCTGCCAGATCCTCCTCCAGCGGCTCCGTCACGGTGATCTCCGGCATCGAGGCCGACTGCTGCAGCTTCTGTTCCTTCTCCTCCTTCTCTTTGGCCAGGATGAAGTTGCGCTTGCAGCCGTTCTGGATCTCGGCCAGGAGAGCCTTCTGCGTTTCGATGAAGCTTTTTACCTGCGAGGGAAGAGAAACCCTCGGTCGTTTGCAACGTTCCCGAATCGGCGCTCGGGGAATCATCGGCTCCACGTTTATTTTCCAGCCGGGCGCGCCGTAACGGCGTGGTTTTTTTTTCCCCCTCCGCCGCGCCAAGACGGGATTGGTATTTCCCCAGGAAACACGGCGTAAGAATCGAGTGCCCCAAGGGCGGCTGCTCGAAGCGATCGCCGCCAGGATTACGGGAATGCCATCCCGGGGGATGCTCAGCGGAGCGGGACCCCGAGGGACCGGAGCCCTCCGGCGATGCCCCCCGCCGCGAGCTGCGGGCAGCAGCCGGCCGGGACGCGGCCGTTACCTTACGGGCCCCAACCTTCGCACGAAACCGCAGCCGCAAGCTGGCTGGGAATTCATTGCAGTGGGAAAACGGGAAAGCGGCAGAATTGAGCCTGGAGGTATCACCCTCGAGGAGGGTGTTTTCCTGCCGCCGGGGTCTCAACGGGACCCCCCCAAAAAAGCAAGAGCGGGGGCGTTGCCTACCGACTCCTTCTTGGGCTCCCTGTCCAAGTCGAGGCGCAGCAGCGAGTGGTTGACCTTCAGCGCCAGCGACAGCGCCATGAGGCCGCCCGTCTTGATCTCGTTCTCCCGCAGGTCCAAGCGAAGCAGCCGCGGGCTCTCGGCGATGAATTCCGCCACCGCCACAGCGCCTGCGAGGGACGGGAGAGGCGGGGGGGGCGGGGGGGGGGAACGCG